CTACGTCACTTGCAGGTATCCCATTGATATAAGTACAAGGGAAAGTAGCTTGACTGTGGTAAATTTTAAATATCATGAATTGCCTTGAGTAACAGCATAATGCCGGATGACGGTGAATATAGGTCTTTTTTTATAGGAGGGACAATTAAAATTGTGTCTTGCTTAATCTGATAACGTAAAGCCACCGAGAAGAGCAACAAAGAATATATAAATATAATAAATAAAAGGATTTGCATGTCTGTCTGTGTGTCTGTATACCTGATTGCGGATATACCGTAAGCTCTAAAAATATTTGCTTGCTAGTTTATATATTTAATCCTAAAAGTTTTTCATCGAGTATTCTGTAATACTTATTATTTTTTTAAAATTTGTTATGCCAGGTTATCTGAATGATCAACGTGATCGTGGTAGCATAAGCAAACTACATCACCAAACTATTATTCCTAAAGTTATCTGAAACCACGTATTTAATTTTGTTTACAATTATGTTTTTCAAAATGCTCTTTTATAACACTAAATAATTTAAAATTAACCTAACATTAATAGAACAAAACGGTCGTATAAAGGGTTAAAGTTGAATGACCTTTCTGTTTACGTTTAATCAGAATATCATGTAATCAAATTCAAGAATTGAGATAATATGATTTAACTTAGAATTACATTAAAGTTACGGCAAATTTGAATTAATCATAGTTCAACACATTCCCAAAATTTCTGTTGCAATTGAGCTATGGTTGAAAAAAAATTTTAAAATAATTTTTTACCCATTGGCAAAATGGGTCTTGTTTTGGGTTTGATGGCTTGCGCACTTTATTTGGACATCGTCACACTTTTCAACTGTGTTCAATAGTAATAGTAAACAGTGCGCATGCGTCGTCATTGCATGCGTTGCTATGGTGACCTCGGCAGTTTGATAATTTTTTTAGAATTCTTTTTTTTTTCACCAGCAGTCATTCTTAATGTATTTAAATAATAATATTTGAAAGTATTTTTATATTCTTTTTATTATTAACTTATACTTACTGTCTTGACAGTGATTTTAATATAAATATGAGTGCTGAAGAAGGAAAAGTATTTCATGAAAAGTATTTATTATATTTTGAAAACTAATCGAACGACAAACCCATAATTTGGAGTGAAACCAGAAAAAAAAAAAAAAAAAAAAAAAAAAAAAAAAAAAAAAAAAAAAAGCATTTGACCAATGGGTAACCAGTGATCGCAATAAAGCGATCACAATTTTTTTTAATAATTTTGCTTTCTTTATTTTTTCAAGTTTCCCCTTTTTTTTTTACCTATTTTATTTAATTTTTACATTGATTATTTAAAATCTTTAATCTGTTGTGATAAAAAATGAATAAAAACAGCGTGATGTTAGCTTTCTCTTTTCTTAAACTTCAGCTAAGCATCGACTGTATCTGTTTTTTATGTGTATTAATTGAACTCTTTTTGTGCATTTCTGATTAAAAGAAAATTAATTAAAGCAGGGTGATTTATTTTTATTTATTTATTTTTAAAAAAAAAGACTTTTCTTTGCAAAGAAAGATATTTTCTGAAGCATTATTGTCCTGTTTAATGTTTTTACAAAGCCTGTAACATTTAGAAATATACGAATTGCTTTGAAACGTAACTAATAGATTAATTATATTATCAATGTTTAAATCTTTATATAAAATGAGATAGCTAGGTTTCTGTTATCTAACTCGGTAAAGTCCAATTAAACATACATAATGGTAGATTAAGAACGTAATTCCGTAGCAATATCATTAATATCAAAGGGATATGGCTGTCTTATCCTTCGTAATCATCAGTCATTTACTATTACAACAATGTACTGATCCAATTAAGATTATTCCAAAACTGTTGGAATGATGAACGACTCACGATTCTCTTTATAACATGCATTGTATCGAAACCATATTTTCGTCGTAATTTATATTTATTTTTGCTGCCATAATAATATACTTGTAAGTTATAAAAAAAGGATTAAAATATCGTTAATTGATTTAAGAATAGAGTACATAAATAGAGTATTATAAACCAATTCATAGCTTATAGTAAAAGGATATGTGCGACTATTATTTATTTTATTTATTTATTTCACTTCGACATTTCAGTTTCTCTGAAAAAACGTCACCTATTTTTTTTTTTTTTTTTCAAAGCAAATATTGATTTACACTTTAACTCACAAGTACATTTGGAAAAATGCTAGTTCAATTTTTTTGAATAGTAAATATGTGTATTTGGAAACAAATAGTAGGGCACGAAATTTTTTCAATAATATGAAATTAAGTATAAAATAATATAACATTAATATCAAGTTTCATAAATTTTTTAAAATTTTATAAAATTAGATTTAATTTTAATTCATCTTTCAAAATTATCTTGTACAACTTATAAACTTTAATGATAATCATGCCGAATGGTAATTAAGCCGAATGAGTGAATAACTGTATTAAGCACAACTGTATTTAAGCACAACTGTATTTAAAAATTCAAATCCTTCAACCCCTTCTTCAATCCTAACACCTTAATTAGTTTTAAACAATATATTAGCCAGATTTTTTCAATGCTTGCCCGATCGAAAGTACTTTGATTTCAATTTCAACTATTTTTAAGAGATATCGTAAAAGTTCTTTATGTATTTAAATTTAGTAAAATTTTGAAATCTGTCCAGCAGCCATTGAATCACACAAAACACAGTAAGTAAAAGCAGTAGGAATATAGTTGTAAAAGAAGTAACAGTAATAGTAACAAAGTAAGTAAAAGTAGTAACAATTTTTAACAAAATTTTTTCGCCGTCTGCCACACGAAAATACTTTGATTTCAATTTCAACCATTTTCAACAGATATTGTCAAAGTTCTTTATGTATATAAATTTAGTAAAAATTTAAAATCTGCCTAGCAGCCATTGAATCACATAAAACACCGTAAGTAGAAGTAGTATGAATATAGTAGTAAAAGTAGAAGTAGTAACAAAGTAAAAGTAGTAGCAATATATTAACCAAATTTTTTCACCTCCAAGCCTGAGCGAAAGTACTTTGATTTCAATTTCAACTATTTTAGAGTTATTGTCAAAGTTCTCTTTGTACTTAATTTTAATAATAATTTCTGCTCATCAACCATTAAATCACTCAAAACACCGTAAGTGAAAGTAGTAGGCAGTGAAAGTAGTAAGATTATTTCTCTGTCGTGAGTAGGACAGAAAATTCATCTTAATGATCCCATGACTTGCTTTACTATACTCATTCACTCGCCTTTCCAGCCTTAACTTGAGTTATCGTATATGCCAGTGTTTCCCACATTGTGGCACGCGTACCCCCAGGGGTACGGGAACAGTTTAGCGTTCTTATGCGAAATATCTTGCAACAAACGAAAATTTCAAAAAATTTTATTTAAAAATAAAGCTAGCCCTGAAAATGTACGATTATGTATTTTTTTATTGGCTATTTTTTGCAAAGTTAACAGTTAATAATTAGTGGTATCAACAGCCAGTTGTGATTTTTAACTTTTATGCACAGTCATTTTTTTATTAGTGGTACACGGCTTCACGAAAAATTTAGGAAGGGTACGCAAAAGTCATAAGTTTGGGAAACACTGGTATATGCTATTACTCGAAAAAGGCAAGCTTCGTTACCAATAATAGGTATGACAGTATGCAGCACCGTTTCTGTTTAAAACTTGTACAGCGACTTGAGAAAGGATCAAAAATAAATCTAAAGTATTACTTCTATAAAAACACTAAATTTTTACTTCTAAAAATATACACTTCTTAAATTGCTACTTAATACAACCTAACAAAATACTTAAATAAATACTTAAAGTATTACGAATTTTTTAACAGTACTTAAATTATTATTGAGTATTGAGTATAGTAAAGTGCGGCGAGCTCTTTGCTTATCGCTTACAGCTCTGCGCTTAAAATTATTGTTTAAGATAACCTAACTAAACGAATAATATCTATAGTGTTGCCAATAGATAGAGAAATACCCGAGTTTATGGTGCGACATAAGAAAAAATATGTATATATAGTATAGATTATTAATTTTGAAACATTTTGTGAATGGCAAAAATATATTTCCTAAATTGGGTATACTATAGCCTACGTCACAGGTTGTGTTATTCCTACTAAATTTAACCCATGAACGGCATTTTCTGCGAGCCTAACTTCAAGCCGCAAATAAACAAACGAAGTGTTTGATCGTTTAAATAGCTGCTCGCCAGATTTTATTGCATTATAAAGAAAAGTAATTGATATTCGATTTTTGATTAACCATTGATTTATGTGGATAGTGGCATTTATGTGGATAGTGGCATAGAATTTAGCATTGCGTCATGGTAAATGTTATTCCTACTAAGTGGAAGTAGTTGTGTTTTTTTTTATATTATACCCAATTACGCTGTCATAAATTACATTTAATGATAGGTAATTCTTCAGAGCCCGTGCATGAACTTAGGTGAGAAGTTCTGTAAATTCACTTTTACATTACATATTACATTACATTTTTATTGCAATGTAAAAGCTGACTTTTCCCATGCGAAACGTCCTCCGATTTTTTAGTATTACATTTTAAAATTCAACTCAGAAGTTTCCGCGTAAATGAATAATAATAATAATAAAAGAATTGAATAAACTAAGTGATTACCCTTAAGCTTAAAAGATTTCGTATTCTTCCTCCGAAATACCCTTATTAGTTATTTATGGTATGTTAATTTTAAAAAAGTAAAAATGAAATAAAAATAATTCTCCGGAAACGAATATTGCAACGATAATACAGGAATTACAACTTCCTCTTCTACAGGTAATAAAGTGACTCACAAAAATTTATATCGATGATTGAAATGGAACGTGATTTCCGACACTAGAACAAAAAACACAAAAATACCCTTTTATGGAATTCCGTAAAACCTTAACAGTGTCTTTTCTTGCAGTTCGTCATAAAAAAAACGTCACCGCTGTGAGTTTATTTCCGAGTTTCTCAGTAGGCATTGCTCATTCTGCCTCTTCCGACTTGGCGTCATTTGGCGCACTATGTCTTGTACAAGAGGCGAAATAGCGATGGCAACCATTTGACGCTTGCACCGGTTTTTCACAGTGCAGTGTATTTTCACTAGGAAGGAGGTTGAATCTCATTGTAAAGGATTGGTGACAATTTCATCCTTATTATTTTGGAAAAAAGAACCTTGCTAAATTTATATGCGTGGAAAAATACTTCATCTCTGCGCACCTGATATTGTGTGATTTGTGCTCGTTTACGTGGATTAATTCTTTTGCTTGTTTACCGATCATCCTATCATTGGTTTACTACAGTGTGTATTGTTCTGTCAAAAGTGGAGTGTTAGTGGTTTTATTCAAAAACCTTTTAGCAGAAAGATGCGGGATATCAAACGAATAGGATTGTTATTATATATAACTATTTCAGGTATATATATATTTTTGAAAGTATTAAATCTATTTGTGTATGAACGAAATTGGAGTGTATTAATTTTTTTTTATTTTTTCTCTTTAAGTCATTTCATAATTTTTTTTTCTTTAAAAAGTTAAGTATTTAATTAAAAGAAAAGGTATTTGTGTTAGTATATTTTTAGTATTAAGTTCATATTCTCGGTTCTTTTTCATGGGTTTACTTATGATTGATTTCTTAGAAGAATTTTGTAAAATACATTAAAATCTATTTCACAGAACAAGTTGCATTTTTCAGCGTAGTTTAAGCTCGCAGTTTTTAATTGATCAAGTCTCTATTATAGTCCATTCTATTAAAAATAGTTGCAAAGTTGAAGAATTTCTCTAGTATTATAGAATTATATGTTGTCATTTTTCTTTTTTCGTTCCATAATCTCATAAAAAAACATTTACAAAATCGTCTGCCTATTGCCATTAATAGTTTTACTGAGTGGCATAAACAAGCGCGCTAATTTCTATGATAATGTTCATCAGTTAATAGTTGGGACCTATTTGCTGTAAAATTATTAAATGGGACAATAAATTGATATTATCCACTTTTGATAAACGGATATGTATTAAAAGGATTAATGTAATGTAAATGCACTTCTTTTTTCCAATGAAGATGGTCTGAATTCAAAGAAAGCTTTTTATTCAATTAAGTTAATTTAAATTTTTTTCTTTACTGAATACACTTATTCATTCGGAAAGGGTGTTCGAAAAGGATGTTATAATTTTTCCTATAGGCTGCTTAAGATTATTTACGAGCAATGTTTGTCACTTAGCTCATACTTACTATTTAAGGTTTTTGTTTTTTTAAACATATGAACAATTTCTAATCAATTTATAGATTTAATATTCGTTATGTAGATATAGAATTACGAACAAACGCATTCCGTATCAAAAATTATAATAAATAATCACTGCAGTTTCGATAGTTCTCAAACTATTTAAAATCGGACCATTTTGGACATGAGTAAGGAAAATAAACGATTTTTAAGTTCAGAAAAGAGTAAATATTTTAAAGATTAATTCGATTCGAACACAATGAACTCCATTGTGAGGTTTGAGAATAACTAATGCACTTATCTTAACCGTGAAAAGATGATATAATTTTCTATCATTTCAAATAAATGTCGTAAAGCAAAATTTTCGATGAAACGCAAACAAGAATGTGTATCCTGGATCCTAGAGTTTTGTTGATAAATGGGTTCTAACATTTCTTACTAACTTAAGATGAGGCTATAAAATTTTTCTTTTAGTTTAGTTCTTTGTTTATGCTTACGGAATTATGTATCATTGTCCGCCTAGAATCGTTCTACGATGGCCATTAATCTAAAATGGGAACTAAAAAAATTCAGTTCAACTCTACTTTTGCTATTATTTTTTCAAACAATTTGTATGTATGGAATTTTAAATTAAAATGTTAAATAATAACTTTCTAAATATTGAATTAGTTAATAAATGATCGTTTAAGTAGCTTTTTAGCTCTAATTTTTCACACAAATATTTGGTAATAATTTAAATAAGATAATTTTCTTGAATTAAATAGCGTATAGGATCGTCAATTTATATTTAGATACAGTTTGCATACTAATATTTGTCAAAAATTCGAATTAAGAGAAATTAAATGTGATAGTATTCAAATTCTATGTATTCAATTACATTTAAGACATTAATGAAATATTTTATTAATTTTGGGCATTAATATAACAGTTAAGTATATATATAATAAACATTCGGTAGTTTTTGGTCCCTAGGTTGGATTAATCTTAATTAAAAATGACTTTATCAATTGTTTGATTAGTTTAAGTAAAGGCTACAATTGCAAGGCTATGTAATGTTTTACTAATAGGTTTTACTGATTATTTCATAATTTTGCTCTATTTGGTATAATAGGCTGTAAATTCGAAACTATTTATTAAATTTATAACCGCTGTTGAACAGCCGACCCAATTTTGGGTTTATGTCTACTAATGTTCAACTCCATAGCTTTATAATTTTGAACCAAACCAGAAGACAAAGAAATTCCTGGATCAGTAGTACCCCCAGAGGTATTGATTTGTTATGGGAACACGGAGGACTTTGCGACTCTACAGATTTTACGTGCACCAGTCACCATTTACTACACGGGGAGTCTTCAGCCGGCTGGGATCGAACCCACAATCTCTTGGACAAGGGCCCAGTGCCTTACCAACCAGGCTATCCCGGTTCTCAAAACTATTTATTAGAATAGTAAATACTTTTTTAGCACTATTCTAATTACCACCAGGAAGATAAAAATTCTAATTTAAGAATTTTTTTTTTCCAAATTGCCGCTACGAGAAGCCGACCTTAAGTTTTATTGATTCATTTAAATAATAAAAACCTTCAGCAAGTGAAGGCATCAAGTACAATTCTTATCAAAATCTGTTCCGTTGTTATCCACTTAGTAAAGCTTATTGCTTCAAATGCAGCGTTCTCACTTCTTCCTCGCCGTAATTAACTTTGGGTCGGATGTTAAAATGGATGGAAGGTCAAGGCTTATAAATGTGATTATTGTCGTGAGAATACAACTGAATGCCTTAGCTCAATAATGAATTACTAAACCACTCATCGTAGGTGAAGTAATTTATTCGCGATACTTATTTAAACTAACATACGAATTGAATTGTCTTCCATGTGATTCAGTATTCTGTTCAGAAAATACCTCCAATCGAAATCGGTTAAGAATTCCTGATTGGACTGATAAGAATGATTCAATTTCGAAATCCAATTTCGTTACTTCATTGGCAAGTGTCAAAGTTGGAAATTTCTGGGAAATTTTTATTGTTAATCTTATTTATTTTTTTCTTTGATTCATCTTTCGTTTTTAAATATGGATATCAGTGTTAGCTTACGACATTATATATGTTAGCCATTTTCGAACAAATGCCGTAATTATAATAGCATAAAAAAAATTATTCCAGGGAAAAAAAATCAAAAATTGTATAAACCGAAAATTTTTTGATATAGGAGGTAGCCTCAATAGTTTGGTCTAGGAGAGCCTTTAGACCAAACTATGTACCCCTCAATGTTAATTTTAGTTTGCGTATTATGCTATATTTCAAGAACGTCTTAAGCGCATATAAGTTTTTTCCCGACTAATATTAAATAAAATAATAAAAAATAATAAATACAATTTATTAAAAGTTATTTTTTTGCATAGAATTATCTTTGAATGAAATGAATTTTATAATTGTGTGTAAAAAGTTTTCAATTCACTCAAAAAGTAAAATTAACATTATGGGGTCAAAAATTTGGAGTGCTCCCCTGACCAAAGTATTGGGACCCTATTTTCCAGATTGCAGCTACTCCCTATATTTCGGGGATCAAAAATCCGAATACGTCCGGGAAAAAAGGTAATGTTTATTCAGAGAAAGTACGTTTTTATGTCTGATTTCGTAGCTTAAAATATCGTTTGCACTAATCTACATCGTATTTGTGGTCACCCCCTTGAACCAATTATTAGATCAAAAGTTATTCAGGGAGGTACGTTTATTTTTTTGTGCACAGTACATCCTTATTGTTTTTATATTAACGAATTTATTTTTTCATGTCATAAATCATGCTTTCTAAGTAAATAATTAAATGTGAATGTATGCAATTTTACCTAATTACATCATTGTCGCTGGATAAGTGTTAGCTTTAAGGAAAAAGAAATAATGAAAAAAAAAAGATCAATATAAGATTATTTGAAACACAGCGGCCCGCATGAACGTCAAATGACTATGAATTTTGACAAATAACATGAATATTTCTCCCTATTACAATAGATAATTTTTTGTTTAGTCACAAGGTACAGCTACTTTTTCTTCTTCATCACGTCTTCATATCACCATACATTATTTTTTTAAAAAAATATATAGATGTCTAGAATACCAAAGGCCTAAAAAATGCCTATAACATTTTTTTTATAAGTGAAAAAAATATATATCATATGCTGTTATGCAGGGGTGGTCTTTGTGGGTGTTTTTCTGAAAAGGAATTGAAAGACTCAATAGGGGTAGACAGTAGTAAAACTCAACAATCAATACCCAGGAAAAACTTCTAAGGGAACAAAAATGCATTCAGCTTTCTCAAGCATGAAAGGATCCATCAGGTTGTTAGTAGTTCCCACACTGAGGTATTCTTTCTTTGAAAAGTAACCAGTCCCCCAGTCCATGTCTTTCAAAGCAAGAGATTGACCTCTTCTTTTGGCGTGTATTTCCAGAAATATTTCATTTGGCGATTATTATTTAAAATTTTTGTCTATTCAAGCCCATATCTAACATAATTTTTTTAAAAATTATTCTGATCCCATCTTTGAGAACGAAATTATTATGTGGCATGCTTAATTAAATAACAAATTGGCAGAATATCGTTGAATGGACTATTATATCCCTGTGTCTGAATTTTTTTGGGCTTTCTGCGACATCTCTCTCTAATATAATATCTTTCTGCAAGATATTTAAAAATAACGAAGATATTTTTTACTAATTTAAAATAATAGAAGCGTTAATTTCAACAAAAAAATAATTAAATTAAATAAATAAATGAAAAAATTGGATCAAATAAAATTTTTTTTTCTTTTAATTGAATACGTGATATTTTTTAAATTCTAATATTGGGCGATATTGTTGCATTTTGTAGATGGATAATACATTAATTATTTCCTTTTTCGCATTTTGTAATTGATCATCACATTAAAAAATTTAAAAAAGTAAGAAATCGTGGCATCTGTAGCTACCGTAAAAAAATAAATTAAAAAAATCGATGGATGGCAAAATCACAAAAAGGGGTTACTAAATGCTTGTTTTCATTTCGAGATTCAATTGTTGTAATAAATAATGTCGGATTTTAAAAGCTATGTGAAAATCAGTACTAATAACTGCATGAAAAAATAGAACTTTCTATAGAATTTTAATTAAAATTTCTTTTATATTTTTAATAATTCTTAAATGAGAATAAAAAAATCACGAG